TAAAATGGTACGAATTGATTCGTGAGACACCGTAAGTTCAGCGGCTATCTCTCTCAAACTGAAATGACGATTTTCAGTCACCATTTCCTTCACTTTATCGATGTAAACTTCAGTTGAAGACGTTGATGGCCGACCAGAGCGAGGCAAATCTTTCACCACATCTTGACCGCTTTTCAATTCACTGTACCACTCATATGCACGTGTTTTTGATAAAGTCGATTCACCGTAAGCCTTCTGTAACATCTTCAGCGATTCGACACACGAAATTCCGTTTGCAATACAAAATTTGAGACAAATTCTTTGTTCGATCTTTTTATCCATTGTAAAAATCGCAAAACACACTTGAGATGAACTGACGAAATCAAGCACTATAAACAAATTAAATGACAGATGGCACTCAAACTCCGCGTCGGTATAGAGGACAGTTATGCCAACTTAGCGACAAAAAGAATTTTGACAATTCCTTTAAGTGGGCTTTTTAAATGATCAATTCCCGGTACTTTTTTTTGACAGAATGTATACTGGGAGCATATCTTTCTGGCAAATATCATTAAAATATTTTCTTTCTTACGTGATTTTTATTTTAATAAATAATTAAAATAAATTTTTTATTATTAACATATTTTATTATTAACATAAAAATTTTACATCATAAAGATTTTACAATGTAAATTTTACAATGTAATTTTATGATGTAAAATTTTACTTTATCGAGTCACATATATTTAATAATCCTTTTTTATTTCTTAATGAAGAAAGTCTTTCTTAGCGAAGAAACTATTTGTAAAACGTATCAATAATAGTACTTTCAAGATAACATGAAAAGCCATTGTCCATATTATAATTATCATATTGTAATTTTTGTTTATATATTATTGCAGAATATAATATGTTAATAATAAAATATGTTAATAATAAAAGATTTATTTTAATTATTTATTAAAATAAAAATCACGTAGGAAAGAAAATATTTTAATGATATTTGCCGGATAGATATGCTCTCAGCATACTTTTCGTATCGCGACGCTCCTGGGGCACAGCATCACGTGAGCGATCGGCGGCTCGGCCACCGAGTTTCGAGTGGTAGTGGGGATCGCCTCAGGAATCTGCCCGAAATGAGCAACTAATTCCGAGCACTGCTCTAGAGGGATTTATCTATTATTACGCTTAGTCAGATAATCCACGATTCGTCTTTAATTATTGAACACAAAGTTTCCTGATTCTAATGAACAGGAATGTTATTAATTGATAATATAATAATTTAGTTCAAAAACAATAAATGATATAATACCTGTGTTACAATGGACTTCCAATGAATATTCTCAAGACGTGTATAACTTGTTATAACAATTCAACTAGTAAAAACGTTATGTTCCTCTCTAATCATGACAGAACGCTTATAAACAATTTCCGTAGAGAAGACAATGGAGAGGGTAACTCAAGAGTTATGTGGGAGAAGTAACATTAAGTAGAAAAGAGTATGCCTCTGGTAATCGTTCAGTATCATTTTGTATTTTATAATTAGAAATGTTTGCACTTTACTTTTACACTCAAATCAGTATACAACGGTTTTAATATTCACCAGTATGCACTAGTGTGTCCAATCTAATTCCTATTAAAAATATAAGCCATATAACTGAAACAAAATTTATTTAGAGCCGGTTGTTCCACTTTTTAATAAATTTCAATTTACTTGACAGATTATTACCTATGCGGTAAATTTTATTGGATAATTTATCAGTAACTTGTATATGAACATTGTTCCATGATTATTTATCTTATTGGTAGTTATTTAATAGTTAGAAATGGTATGCTAGTTAGTAATATTGCTCGGGTTTAGTTAATAATTTAGTTCGAGTAAATAAAGGTTGGTAGAAGCTCAAGAAGGGAAAACCGAAAACATTGGAGTTCTTGGAAATCGTTTCTCTTTTCTTGAGGTGGATAGGATTTTATTTTTCCTTCCTTCTGGTAGCGGCGTTCCCGGTGAACCTTTTTGCGATTAGTTATTAATAGACTGCGGAACTTTATGCAAAATACTTAACTGAATATTAACTATCGGACAGTTTTAGCAGTCAATCGTTGTTCGTTAAAGAGTTATTAAAAGGTGAAGTAAAAAGATTGAGATTGCCATCTGTAAATTTACAAAATTGCAAAATATGTATTTTATACAAAACATTCAGTTAAGTATTTTGCATAAAGTTCCGCAGTCTAGTTATTAAGAAACATTATGCAGAATATACTCCATAAATAAAGTATTTAAAACAACACAACACATTGATATTGTATATTTCCTTGATATTCGATTCAATCTATATAAATTGCCCAGCATGAATTTAAGGGTTCATGTTATAAATAATCAAGATAGAATTGTGATGTTCCTTATAAGGATTAATTGAATTAAATGTTAAGAAAAATGTGTTGGATCAGATATTATCAATTATAAAATAAATCTACAATTTTCAATAAATAAAAAAAAATCTTATTTCCGGTCAAAACGGATATAATCCAATAAGTTATCAGATTCAGAAATGACGTATCTTTCAGAAATCTTTTTAAAAATGTATATATTGTTATGTGGAAATAATGTAGTATTATTCTTTTTACAAGAATGAAATCGCGATTAGACACAACATTCTGCAATTATTTCTTATTTTTTCAGACTAATTACATATTTATCAAAATAAATAATTAATTACTAGCCAATTTAACTTTGCTAGTAGTTTCCAAAAATATAAATTTTTATATGCTTTTCCTCTCCCGTGTAATCCCGTAATAACTACGTTATTTATAAATATTTTAATTATTGAGTTTTACTTATAAATTACTCGTTTAGTTTAAGTCTAGTTTAAAAGTTCAATTTTAAATTACCGTTTTTCGAATTACCATTAGTTACAATGCAAAAATATTTAGAAAGGAATGCGCGTTTTGAACATGCTTCGATACTCTAGTAAATTCAGATGGTTAGGCATTTATGATGTCGTGTGTACGATTGTAGTACCAGAATGGTTTTGACGAATAATGTCATCTTCATGTTGAAGCTTAAAACTTTTCAGACGACCTACGTAAATCAGTTGTATAATTTAGAATATTTCATATAAAAAACGTTTAATATGTTTTTGAAATACATTTCCTTCATTTTATATAATTTACTTTTTAACACATTGAGTCGGCTAATTTTTATAAGTGTACCGCAGGAGCCAAAGCTTGAAACTATCCAATGTTTGGAAATTATTTTTTATGTAATTGGAAACCTTAATTAATTATTTTAATATACTTTACTAAAGTCTTTGGTGCAGTGACACACACCGTGTGTCTACCGGTTATCGACGCAAGTAGTCACGGTGTGTGTCGCCGACGCTCAACGTGTTAATAAATATTTCACACATATAGTTATTATTATTAGATTTAGTATTGAATTACGTTACACTATTTACTATTGCTAAAAATGTTACAAACATATCTGCTAACAACGAGATAGACGTACTACGATGGGCGTTGAAGTCTGTAACAAATATTGATCATAATGTTGATTTAATATTAGGAAATGATAATATTAACTAATTTACTGTTTTGATTACAATACTATTTATTTACTATTTGATTTAATTATAATTACTTTCATCGTCTGAATCACGTACGCCACACTGCCGATGTCCTAAAGTAGTTTTTCTTTTTATTGGTGTGTATCCGGGAATATATAAACTGGGAGCTTCGAGTTTACCAAAGGATAAAAGTTTACTGAAATCTTGCTCCAATTTACTAGCAATTGGACCTGAAAATACAATTAAAATAGAGATATAGTTAATTAAATTTGGTAGCATGTTTAAATTCATAATTTTTCAATAAAAATACTATTTAAATATCCAATGTCACCTTTTTCCTTTTGAAATATATATATATTTATCAGGGAGGGATAAGTTTGTCAGTAGTATTACTGGGGCGGTTCTAACCCATGGGGCTAGAGGGGAGTGCGGACGC